ATGGAGGTTAGGTCCATAAAAGGCTATTAACCAGGGGATAAAATGGTGTCCTTGGCCTCTGTTTGTCAGAGGCTGGAGAGAGATGGCAGGACAAATTGCTTGATCGTGTCTTCGGTCCATCCTCTCTGGGGCACCTGGTGTTGGCCACTGTCGGCAGACAGGATACTGGGCTAGAAGGACCTTTGGTCTGACCCAGTACGGCCGATCTGATGTTCTTATGAAATGGAAATTGAATTTTTCCTCATACCCCATTCATGACACACGGTGATGACACCACCAAGTCAACATCTATCCTGTCTGTGAAAGATGAAACAGCAGCAGTGTTGCTTTTTTAGAGGGAAAGGCCCAGTGTGCAGCACTTAATCTTACTGCAACATCATTAGCTGAAAGGGAGGGCAAAATGACAGATTCTGTCTGCACAAAACAGCAACAAAAAGCCAACACATCACTTGGATTATTTTTGTATTGTGACAGTTCAACCCGCTAGCGCACCGTATACCGATTTTCTTTCACACTACTGTGTTCCCAACAACAAAAGGCACCTATGCAATATAAAGGAATGAAGAAATAGCACAGTTGGTTTGTTTAATTTTTCAGAGTTGTGGTTTGGAATATTGAGCAGTGGAGAAAAGCAAAGCATGTGTATTTGGCTGAGTTCTGTGTAGCTCCTTCGAAAGGTTACTCTCAGTGCAAACTAGACACCGCTTTCCTTTCCTCCCATCACTTGGGCTTCTGACAAGGTTACATATTTTCAGAATGCAAATAAGTAGGAGGGAGGGGGGAAGGAAAAGCATTTAATGTTAGCACTTTTCTTCCTACCACAGGACCTGGATCACAATAATACATCACAGTAATTCCAACCAGTATAACATGAGGCTGTAGGTGTTCCATTCTAGTCTTCTCACCTTTTGTCTTTTGGTGTTCATACATTTTAGGGAGTCATCTTTCCTCAGGGCTTCCCTTTCATATGCTACTCTGGAATAAAAATCTAATCTGCATCTAAAAGAAAATCAGTTTGTACCCACCAAAGATCTGTATCATTCTAGTTACCGTTGCTGTGGCCAGAGACAGTATTGTGTTGCTCATTCATAAATTAACTCATGAAGAACAGTAGTGTCAAAGCTGCCATTCCTTATTTTCCTTCACGTTTTTTTCCAATAAACAAACCAGAAAGAGATCTAGGCCATGTCTTCACTACTGGGAAAATCAGTATTGCCACAATCAATCTTCCAGAATTCAATGTGGCAGATCTAGTAAAGACCTGCTATATGGAACTCAGAGGGCACCCCATCAGCGCCAGTACTCCTGCTCCTCACAAAGAGCAAGGGAAGCTGATGGTAGCGTTGGCTTCCATTAACCTCCCAGTGTGGAGGCCATGCGGAAACTCAAATTAAGGTATGCTGATTCCGCTATATAATAAGACCCACTGACACTCGCCTGCCTGCTCTCTGGGGTTTCTCACTACCCTGTCCTGCTGGGCCAGCTCCATGGTCTCCCCCAGCCAAGGCCCCGAGCTGAGATCCCTGCCCCTCCCGGAGCAGCGGTACAGACACTGAAACTCCTCAGGTCCAAGGAAAACACAGTTTTAGGCCCCGCTTCCTGGGATACCACTCCCCAAATGGGACCAGAACCCCACATGGATTATTTAGATGAGCCCCCTTCAGCAATGAGAGGAGGATGTGCACACTGATTGCTCCCCCAGGTAACAGTCATTTACCCTGGGCTCAGTAGTAAATAAAAGTGATTTTATTAAGTGTTAGCAGTAGGAGTTAAGTGGTTATAAAAGTGAGAACAGGCAGAGCAAAGTAGGTCGCAAGTTTCAAATAACAGAAAGTGCTTTCTTAATTCTGACACTAGAACCTCAGTACAAAGTTACTACAAACTCACCCTAAAACTGTCCTTGTTCCAGCTAAGCCTCCAAACCAGGGAAGTTCCCTCTCTCTGAGGCCTTTGGTTCATTCTGCTGGGAGCGCCAGGCCAGCCAAAGACAAATAAACTCCTAGCTCCCTATTGTTTTATAGATACCACCTTTCCATGGACAATCGCTTGGTCCGCCCCTACCAGTTGGGATGGACATGTGACTTCCTAAGACCAACCCCTGCTAAGACTGAAAGGACCAAAGAGGACATACGTATGATTGCCCAGACACTGAGGTGTCCCAGCATTGGCGACACCCGATGGCTTTCATTGGCACATTTAAAACCATAAAGCATTCCCTCCTCCATAGATCTAACTTCGCACACGAGAAGGATACATGCACCAAAATAAGAGATACAGCCCCAGCGGATTAAGACATGAACATTGATAGGTTACATGAGATAATTTGTCCAAAGCACCTTTGAGTTAGGCATATCTGTGTCCACAAGTCCATTTTCTAAAGCAAGGGGTGGTGGTGTCTGTCATAATTACTGTAGCTGCATAATGTAGCTCCCGAATTAATGGAGTTGGGTATTTTAATTCAACCTTCCCCTGTACTGTAGACCTGGCCCTACATTTTTGGCACTACATTTTTTTTAAACCCTTTTGATGGGAAATGTGGAAGTGCACCACATGTTATAACCTCTGCACTCTTTTACAGTTAGTCCAACCAAATTATTCCCCCAGATAGGGCAAGAATGACAGAGGAATTAAAAGTTGCTCAAGGACAAAAGGAATTTTAAAAGTGAAGGCTCCTTCCTTCCTGTCCAGTGGAAGCAAGTAGACACACATAACGGAGGAAAGCTGGCTCTTTGAAAGTCTGGGACCGCTAGTCATGGTACATGACGAAAAAAACTGAGATGTCGCAGTCCAAAATTGGGGGCAAGAATAGATCTGGGACATGAACACTGAGTCCAAGAGTTTGCACATGCAGAATACTGCAGTGCTCTATTAGAACATGCTTTGAACACTGCAGAAATGTGTGCCTGGTCAGTCTCTCCTTGGTAACTGTGAAATGAGAGTACATTGAGAACAGTACCTCCTTTGCCTGTCTGAGTTGAGCTTTTCCACAGGCGCTCTGTAGAAAGCTTTTTTCTGCACGGAAGCCTTTGGCATATATCGTGCATGGAGTTCTAAGGCAAAATACGTCCTTCCCTGTATCCACTGGCATAGCATAGGTAACTGTGGCTAATGTACTTTGCCCATTTTGAACTGGCCAGCTGCTGTAGGAAGTCAGTTGCGGTAATGAGGAGTGTATTGCCACTCATTTTGGGTCTACGCTTACTGTAAAAAGTGGAACCGGTGGAGAAGGTCCTGGCAGGAAATCTAATCTCTGAGCTGAGCCTTCCATCTTTAGGACCAAGGGAATATTTTTAAATGAAAGGTTAGAATGTAGGCTGTTGACAGTATTGTTTGATACTGTCTCTCCAAGGCTGGAATCCACACCATACATCTGTCCCCTGAAAGCACACGTCACAGGAAGGATGGTCTTAAAACCAAAGTGCTGGTCGAGTCTTCATCATCCTGCTTCTGTACCTTCTTTTCCTCCTCCCCCCAGCATCTAGGCCAGCTGCTTCTTATGACACAGAATAGAGACCGGGCATCTCTCAGAATGGAAAAGGGACTTAGAAAGTGGCTCTCATCTGGGATGAATCAGCGTAGCTCTGCTGACATCAGTGAAGCTGAGCCGATTTACACCAGCTGAGAATCTGCCCTGGAAAGGGAAGCAGAGAAATTGAAGGCAGCAGGAGTATCACTAGCTCAGATGGCTAGTGATGGTGGTTTCCCCAAAGGCCCTAGAGCACATGGAAAGCTAGCACATTTCCTCATCGCCCTGAGGTGGGCAGGATTACTGCAGCACATGACAGCTGCTTGTGTACAGGTGGAAGTATGTCCCCACAATAGGAGGTTGCTGTGTGTCAGGGAAAGCCCTTGACTTCTCGGGTACTGGAGGAGTAGCTCTGGGGAAAATTTTCTTCTGAGGGTGGAGTCAAGAAACCCAGATTGTTCCAGCCCTTGCTCCTGATTTGTACAACTTTCGGAAAGTCACTTAAACTCTCGTGGCTACATCTACACTGGCAGCTTCCTGCACAAGAACTCTTTTGCGGAAGAGTTCTTGTGCAAAAACTCTTCCAGAAGAGAGCGTCTACACTGCCGTGTGCTTTTGCACAAGAGCATCCATGCCAGTGTAGACGCTCTCTTGCGCATGAAAGCTCTGATGGCCATTTTAGCCATAGGGCTTTCTTGCGCAAGAAATCCATGTTGCCTGTCTACACTGGCCTCTTCTGGAAGAGCTCTTGCACAAGAGGGCTTATTCCTGAGCGGGAGCGTCAGAATTCTTGCACAAGAAGCCCTGATTTCATACATTAGAACGTCAGTTTACTTGTGCAAGAACAGACGGCCAGTGTAGACAGGCAGCAGGTTTTTGCGCAAGAGCGGCCTCTTTGGCACAAGATCGCGCCAGTGTAGACACAGCCTCTGAGCCTAATTGGCCACAGGCATAAGAAAGTACCACTCCATCAAAGGCAGTGGGATTAGCCTGCTTGCATCAGCAGTAAATTTGGCACGCGGTGCCTCAGTTTTCCTGTTGTAAACCAGGCTTGGTATTACTTCTCAAACAGGTATTGTGCAACTTAGCTGTTTGTAAGCAAAGTTCATGGACTGTGTCATTTCCATAGCATTACACTTGATCTGAGGACAAGCGCTTGGCCTGTGACGGCCCGTATACCCGCAGCACAGCTCTGTGGGTGCTGGTGGTGGCATTGTTACACACAGACCTTGTTCAGCCCGGACAGTGGTGTCTCTTTGTGAAGTGACAGGGTGGGTCTCTTCCCCCACCCTCCAATCTGGCCATTTCCAGTTAGACAGACTGTCTGTGTCTCAGGCATGGAGGCACCAGGCAGGTGGCTACTCTTAGTCAGTCTGCAACATGTACAACATCCCGCCCTGTTTGTACATGGGTTGGGGGAGAGGGGTGCCCTGAGGAATTACAGTTCCACAGCTTGATTTTGTCTCACTGCTCTCCTTTGATATATTCTCCTTCTTACGTGTCTGTGTTTTCTTTCTCCTTCATGCTATGGCAGTGGTGCTCCATGCTGATGAGACAATACTTGGTGCAGCCTCAGGCAGTCATTTTTCAGGTAATTTCTTAGGGTACCAAACACCCGACTCATGCTTTTTCAGGTCTCAAGCTGGTTGGGTTCCCCCATTATCCTTTGCTTGTGCCCGGGTAGGTTGGGTTTTTTCTTTCCTTGCCTATTCCTAGTCGAAAGACCATGGGGCTGTGTTGCAACTAGATAAAGCCAGTGAAGTAACGTTCTTAGATCAGTCCCCATGGCTGCACAGTTCTAGGATATAACGAGGTTTTAGGGCAACTAATTGTGATTAATGAATGGTTAGGGTGAATAGGGATGAATTTCTGAGACAGCCACAAGAGTAAGGAGAAGGAAGGATGTTTGTTTTCGCTGGTGAGAGGAAAGGCCCATTCCAGAGTTGTTAGTTTGGCAAGCTTTGCCTTTCTTGGCTCCATGGTGGGACGTAGGGCAGTGATGCACTGGGTGTGCAAGAGAGGGAGCAGAAAAGATGCTAAAGCACCTACCTCGTGTGAGTCAATGGCAACCCCTTGTTTTGTTCAGTGATGATTACATGCACACCCAAGGCTGTATCGTTCTAATACCACCCTGTAACCACTCACCTTGCCCGACCAGCCCTGGATGGCCGAGCGTGTGCCTGCACTGTCTCTTCCAAAGCCTTTTTGGCTACTCAGCGTGAAATACTCAACCCCCTCCCGGGGGACATGCCTAACAGGAGCCCATCCTGGTGCCCTCTGCTGGTGTCTCCAGGTCTGTCTCAATGTGTTTCCCCTCAGTCTCTTTCCTCATTCAGAGTGGCACCTCCAGGGCTTCCCCTCCTGGAGACAACTTCCTCAGCCAGCCTCACACTCTACTCTCCTTGAGCTTTGCCCTGCACTGACTGGTGCTCTGCTTTGCAGCTCCCTTTGTAGGCCTTCCTGGCCCCTGATTGGCTGGTTCCTCCAGAGTTGCTCTAGCCTGCTGGAGGACTTAGCTCCGGCTCTCTTCTGGGGTGGGGTGTGGCACGATCAGCCCATCACTCCCCCCTGCAGAACACAGAAGCTTTTCGTTAGGGACTGACTTGTTACCATCCGTGGGTGTGTCTAAACTACACCCCTCTGCCGACAGAGGGATGTAGATTAGGCACATCGCTATTGCAAATGAAGCAGGGATTTAAATATCCCATGCTTCATTTGAATAGAAATGGCTGCCGCTTTTTGCTGACGCGGCACTTTACTGGCAAAAAGCGGTAGTCTAGATGGGGATTGATCAACAAAGAAAGCCTTTTCTGACCGATCCCTTATGCCCCATGCAACGAGGTTTACAGGATCGGTCGGAAAAGTCTTTCCTTGTTGATCAATCCCCATCTAGTATGCCGCTTTTTGCTGGCAAAGTGCCCCGGTGGCAAAAACCGGTGGCCATTTCTATTCAAACGAAGCATGGGATATTTAAATCCCTGCTTCATTTGCAATAGCGATGTGCCTAATCTACATCCCTCTGTCGGCAGAGGGGTGTAGTTTAGACACACCCAGTATGATTAGGGCTGCCTGCTTTTTCTGGGTCACTCTCTTTTTGCGTGCGCGCGCGTGTGTGTGGTGCAGAGGTTCCCCTGTTTTTACTTTGTGAAGTGCTGGACCCGCAATGCCGCTCTATGAAAGAGCAATAATTATAATCAGCTCAAGACACCTGGGTTCTGGAAGGAGCAAGAAGAGTTTTAAGTTTTCACTCTTTTGTTGGGTTGATAAAAATAGAGGCTCTTTCTGCTCGGCAAACCAAGGTCTTAGTTTGAGCGAGACAGATGTGGTTTCAGTTGATTAATCAGCTTGTTAACATACCCTACAGCCTGGCAGTGTGAACTGCTGTTTGCAGGACTGTTGTACTTTCTGTTTCCAAAGCTGAATGAAGAGCGGCGCATGCCAGTCTCAACCTGGCACAAGACGGGCATTTTTCATTTCATCCCAGCTGTCTTGGCCTGGTAGCAGCACATGTGAGGCACGTGCATATGGACCTCACGGCCATGAAATGCAGGAACTCCCCTCACAATGGCAGGTGCCATCTAGAGTGCTGCCCAGCAGCCAGACTCTCCCAACGGAGAGACGGCCGTGTTGGGGAAAACCCATAGAGCGGTTAACATTCTTCTCTCTATTTGGGCAACGGAAAAGCCATTGACCAGCTGTGCAACTGATAATGAGATAAAGGACTAGGCGGTGTATGATCTACAGCCACCACTGCCCCCTCCTCGTTCTGGTTCCCTGCGCTGATCTAGTGATGAATTTGGAGATTTCTTTTTCTTTAAGCCAGTAGTAGCTTCCATTGTCACAACCTGCAGAAGGCATCTCAAACCTCAGGACAGTGCAGCAACTGTTTGGTAGATCTATGCTAAGATAGGCATCCCGGAGACACAGAACCAAAGGAATAGTAGGGACCACAAGAGTCATCAAGTCTAAGGTACAGGACGAGTTCTGTCTCTAAACCATCCATACGCTGGCGGCTCTCCAGTCTCCTTTGGAAAGCCTCTAGCGAAGCTGCTTCCATGACCTCCGGAAGCAGCCTGTCCTACTGTTTTCCTGTCCTCGCAGCTGGGACCGTATCCGTTATCTGTGTGTGCTGGAGGCTGCGCTCCCGGAGAGCACCGCTGGCACCAGGTGCACCTTTACAACATGCAGTGCAGGAGTGGGGCCATACCTGCTACTCTCCAAGATCTGGGCAGGCAGTGAGTTTGATGCAAAACCTCTGCGCTGCAGTAGACGCCCGTGGATATCGGTACTAACCCTTGTGCAGCGCTGTCTATGCCTGGGCGGGTAGAAAACGGCTTCTAGTTGACAAGCCTTGTTTGCTCTCATGTTAAAGTTTGGTGAGAGCTGGCCAAGTTTAGGCCCGCTGGAAGTGGGTCAGTCGGGGTGCCAACAGGCTTCTGAGGCCTTGAGCAGCGCTGCACCCCCCCAGCCCTCAGCGCTGTCTGGAGCGCGCTGCCCGGGGCTCTGCTGTGCACTGCCCAGGATTCCCATGGTGTCTGAAAGGTCCAGGGCTCCCAGCTGCTGCCACCACAGAAGCAGCAGGGGTGGCCAGGAGCCCCGAGCTCTTCTGAATCACCAGGCTCCAGGGCGACTGTTCCTTTCGGCCCCCACCTCTGTGGGCGGGCCCGGGGCCAGCAGGTCTGACTGTGGCTCCGTGCGCTGGCACAGCGTGGTGTGTTCCCTCAGGCAGCTGACAAAGCGTTCACGTTACTAGCTAGACTCGTCGCAGGGCTGCCTGCCGGTGACGGCAGCGGGAGTGGGCATCAGAACCAGTGTTAGCTTGTTGAATACTGATAGCAGTGATGGCACAGCCACACAGATTCAGCATGGGCTAGCGGCCCGAGCCCCTACCCAGGGTCCCAGCTGGGCTCGTTCGTCCCGGGCTGAAACCCGTGCGGCTGTTGGTACCTGGTCTAGCTGGATTAGAACTAGCTCCAGTATGTCTGCAGCTGCTGCAGTCACCCCGTGATTCCAGTGCAAATGTTCCTGCAGTAAGGAAGGAAGTATCTGTACGGTGTTGTTCAGTACATATAATACCCTGTCCGAGGAAATTTGTGCGTGCTCTTCTCCTTTTCACAATATGCTAATGTACAACGTCACTGTGTGCCAAACTGCTCACACGGGCCCATACTGCTCATGACTCCAGCAAATTCACTTTCAAAGGCATTACGAGAGCACCACATGAGACGTGATAGGGCTTTAGGAATGGAGGCTAGCGAAGGTGAAAGCACGGATGCTGTGGAGAGGCAGCAGAGGTGTATGTAGCACTATTGAGGAAGTGTTGATGAGCAGATAGGCAGATACAGGGGTGTGGCAAGACTAGGAGCGTTTCAGGCTCTAGGAGGAGAAGAGGACTTTGAAGAGTGAAGGCCTGAATTGAGGAAGGAGACAGGACACATAGGGTATGTCTAGACTGCATCCCTCTGTTGGCAGAGGGACGCAGATTAGGCAGGTCGACATTGCAAATGAGGCTGGGATTCAAATATCCCGTGCCTAATTTGCATAAAAATGGCCGCCGCGTTTTGCCGACTCATAACTTTGTCAGCAAAAAGAGGCAGTCTAGAGGGGGAACTGTCGAGAAAGAAAGCCTTTTTCCACAGATCCTGTAAACCTCCTTGCAGGAGGCATAAGGGATCTGTCGAAAAAGGCTTTCTTTCTCGACAGATCCCCCTTTAGACTGCTGCTTTTTGCCGACAAAGGGCTGAGTCGGCAAAATGCAGTGGCCATTTTTATGCAAATTAGGCATGGGATATTTGAATCCCAGCCTCATTTGCAATGTCGACCTGCCTAATCTGCGTCCCTCTGCCGACTGAGGGATGCAGTCTAGACATACCCATAGGGTCATGCTTGCGGTTATATCTTCACCTGTCTGAATAATCTAGAATCCAAAGAGTATCATGCAGTTGATCTTCTGGAAGGATACCATGATGATGTCACCAGCAGTTCCAAACTTGGCAAAAAATATTTGGCACACCCTTGTGCAAGTATTCCCTGGGCGCAGCCCGTTATGCTGGCAGGTGACCATTATGCCTTGTGCAGATTCGTCTCAAGCTTTCTCTTTCAGAGGAGCTTGGCTCTGTTATCATGAACCTGCCACGACCGGGTTATCACTATGAATTCCTGGTCCTTTTAATAACAGCTGTGGTAGAGACAAACAGTGATACTAATGTCAAACCCCACGCAGAGCCTTCTGTCTCACGCCATGCACTGAAACCAAGTTATGCCTCACCAATAACTTAAAAAATATCTAGTGTTTAGGAGCAATCATGTTTCCACAAGAGATTTTCTACATTTCTCCTTACATTCTGAATAGCATTTCTAGAGTGTCTTGAAAACCTACCGTTCACCACTACATTACTCCGGTTCCAGTAGCTTAGATTGCAGTCAGGCAGGGCTAAACCACCCCAATGTTTAAGTTTATTTGTTCCTACTACTTATTCTTCCTTGAAATCATAACCCCCAATTGCTGTGCATAGGGTTACAATCTCACAAATAAGGGATTATGATGTTGAGGGAAGATGAACTAAAAAAACCCCAGATTCTAGTTTTGTATAAACAGCCTTGAAAATAAAAAAAATGACGGGAGGACGGAAATGCAGAAAAAGCGCCTTGCCACATACGCAGAGTTCTTTCCAAATATAGGGCCAGAACCTCAGCCACTGTGAACTGTCAGAGCTCCGTTGACTTCAGTGGTGTCAACCTTCTGTAAGTGGAGACATTTGACACTCTGGCCCCTGATGTTTAAAATTTCCAAAAGAGTGAGTGTCACCTCTCCACCAGTCTTAAAGACCCATCAATCTTCTTTTAAAACACAGTTGGCGTTGGGAGATGGGGTGCCAAGTCTGTCTGGGATTCTATGCTTGCAGTAACTAGGTTTGCCTCGGTATTCTTTATTGTTTATAGCTTGACCCGCCATCAAGGGATAGCTCAGTTGTTTGAGCATTAGCCTGCTAAACCCGGGGTTATGAGTTTAATCCTTGAGGGACCAGTTAGGGATTAGGGCAAATCTGTCAGGGATGGTACTTGGTCCTGCTGTGAGGGCAGAGGACCGGACTTGATGACCTCTCAAAGTTCTATGAGATGGAAAGGAACAACCATGTTCTTCAGTGACAAGTCTAGATAGTGGAATGATAACACTGATGGTATTACTATTACTGAACTGTAACAGGCAAATGACTTATTTTCTACAGTCATTGTCACAAGCTTTGCTCTATGAGATGCTGCCACACTGAAAGATTTTGTTGCTTGACATCATAAACGGGGATCCTTTTAGTAGGAGAAAACACTTTGTTCTACCAAAGTGGCAGAGACAAAGACAAGACCCACTCAGTGTGTGTGTTACTAATGACAGATTTAGCAGCACGCTTGAAATGTTCTTTGCCTTTCACATGGCTAATCTGATCAAAAAAAGGTTTAGGTTGGGGTTTTTTTGCATTATATGTAATTGTGTTATGCTGCATGTTTCAGAAACAGGCTGTTGAACATTAGTTATCATAATGCTGAGCTATTTCTCGCTTCCTTTCTAGACGACAGAATACTCAGCCATGGCATCATTAGCTGGTGGATTAGATGATATGAAGGCCAATCTAACAAGCCCGACTTCAGCAGAATTAGGAGCCAGTGTTCCAGGGCCACAATCATACCCTATTGTGACAGGTAAGACCTCTTGGAAGGCTGATAAATGTAGAAAAGGAATGTGTTTGTTGGCCAGCTGGGGGAAATGGCTGAATGAGATTTTGCTGCACCTGGCAAATCACTAGCAGTTATAAGAGAGACATAAATTTAAGAAGTGTCACTATTCTCTTCAGAAAAAACAAATGGTCTGGCAGCACTTTATAGACTAACGAAACATGCAGATGGGATCATGAGCTTTCTTGGGCACATCTGAAGAAGTGGGCTGTGCCCATGAAAGCTCATGATACCGTCATGTTTCGTTAGTCTATAAAGTGCTACCAGAGCATTTGTTGTTTTTTCTGTAACCGACTAACTCGGCTACCCCCTGAAGCTACTATTCTCTTCAGAAAGTCTCAGCGATTCAAGTAGTTCCAGGCAGTTCCTTAAAGTCAGTCGAGCTGGACCAGTGGAGGCTCCAGCCCTCCAAATCTAAACCCTGAGTGCCAAGATGTTACACAAAGTGAGGACTTCTCTCTGCTTTGGGAGTGGCAGTTTGATTATCATGAAGGTGTTTGGCATTTGCATCTGGCCTGATTTTTGATGGCATTTCAGATTGGATTGAGTTTCTGGTGCATCCGATCCCTCCAATTGCATATACTTTGGACCACTTTTGGAATATCTCTCTTGCTGTGGGGGCTGGCTTTTAAAAGAAGCAGCAATTCGGTAGAGTAGTTGACTATATTTAAGTCACCTGCATTTGTGTAACAGTCATAGAGAAGAGGTAAGGACCAATGGCCACCAATGCTGGATTTTGATAACATTTATTGGATGAGTCAGCTATATCACTTGGAATTACACTGTACAAAATGCAAAAGAATCTCCAAATATGTCCCATAAGAATCACTTACAACTTAGGTCACTGGCCTCTAGAACTCAAAGGTCTATTTTAATCTCTCTCGACACTTTTTCTTTTGTTTTAATGACTCCAGTGATAATCCAAATTTCCGTCTCAGATTTCCCTCCATTTTGCCTCAAGTGGACGGTGGAGTTTCATTCTGGCCCAGATCCTTCAAGGTGTTTAGGCACTAACTCCCATTGAAATCAGTGTGCATTAGTGGCCCAGGCTCAGATCTGAAATGATACTTAAATACCTCGTTTTTGTGACGCTTTTAGGTTGCTGCCATCTTGTCTGAAATGCAGTGCAGTTGTGTGGAGTCTGACCTATTTTGAAAACACAAGTTAATGTAGAATTTCCTACAAGCTGGGAGAACAAATGTGAGGCATGTGTCAGTCAGACTCTTTGGAAGGTGCTCACTATCATGGGGATGAGAGCATCTTAGGAATCTCTGTAGGATAGAATAAGGAGTGCACTGTGCAGGTCGAATTTCCCTGCAGATCTTCAGCATTTCGATGCTAAGGTGATGGGTGCAAACAGAGAATGTCAGATGGCAAAGGGAGGGCAGGTGGCCGAAGAAAAGAGAAACAAGCAACAAGGAATTCTGTGAATCTGAGGAAATCAGCGATGTTGGGTGGCTTACCAAGGAGCAATTAAAGAAGATAAAAACAATGCAGAGGGGCTGAGTATTTTTTTGAATGAGTCTTCCCACTGTGGATGTTGAATGAGTAACTGCTTACTTGAGATCCACACCTTGGCAGTGATACGATGAGGAACTGTAAAAGACTAAGGGCTCATCTAGATGGGGAGTTAGTGTGTGAAAAGTTGGGGGTTACTCTGCAGTGCACTAGCATTCTGTCAAGGCAGGTCCCCACACTGGCACTTTGAGTGCAGAAGCAGGGAGCCTGCAAGAGACTTTAAAATACTCTGCCACTAAAGGCTTCTGTTTAAAAACTCCCCAAGGTCACAGATTCCCTGACTTTAGGTGGTACCTTGCCACCATCCAAACATAACCCCTCCCCCCCTTTGAGAACTTGGAGACGCATTTGGGAATTTCTTCCTCTGGGGTTCTTTAATCCTCCCTTTGGAGAGAGCTTGGGGATAAAAAAATCCTGTAATTTTCTTAATAGCTGACCTTGCAGTTTTAGGCACATGCACACAGAACCTGCTGCCTTCTAGGACACAGGAATCAGATCAGGGGCTTAAAAAGGTGATTTTTATTAACAAAAGAAAGAAAACATGCTTGGTAGAACATTATTTGGTTGCTCAATGTTACAGATCAATTGGAAAAAAAGGCAAGATTAAAAACACACAGGATTGCTTCCCTGGGACTCAGTTTAAAAGTTACAGTGGGGGGGGGGGAGAGGAAGGGGGGAGCCATAACATGGACTCAGCACAGAGAAGTCCAAGAAACCCAAAAATAACCTGATTGCGTCTGACTAAACATTCCCTGTTCTACACATGTATCTGTTGTTCCAAGGGGTAGTCCTTCCCCAGGCATGGATGCTAATGGATTGCTCATGCTTTTCTTCCTGGCTTAATTCATGTCTGTCCAGATTTCCTCTGGTCACACAAAGACTGCTGCAGGAAGGTCACTGCTTCAAATTCAAAAACCCACACTCTGTTTTCATTGGTTCTCCTCGCTTCTGCCATACATCCTGCTTCCTTAACATTCCTGAAGACTTTCTAAGACCCCCAGTTTTGCAGACCTAAGATTTTAGGGTAGTTTGGAAAAAGGTCAGCAAAGCATTCATACCTTGGTGTTTAAGTGAATCAAACCACTGAACTTTTGAAGTCTGATCTTTGCTGCTTTTACTTGATGTTCCAACATATGTCACTATATAAGAAACCTGCTAGTTATAACATCTTCATTGTTGGGAGACCCAAGGGCAGTTTTATATTTAAAAACTGACAAGTGAATTGTAAACTCTGGCAGAAATCTTTGATTGAAATCATAGGGAATCTTTCTGTTTTGTGTGAAGCAGACCAATGAATACAGAGCGGCCCATGTCTCAGCATATCGTAGGCTATTAATGTGCAGGGTGCTTAAAAAGCCCCATATTCTAGAATGAAGATCTTGAAATATATAGTCATGAGAATTTAAGAAATAGGTTTTATTGTGGCCAAGAAAACTAATCTGGTTCTTTTGATAGGCTGAGATCTGTAGTTCAAGCTTCAGCAGTTTTTATGAGAAAGTCTGGGGACACTGCTGGACTTCGGTCAGTTTGCAAATAGAAGTTGAGTTCATATTGTGAGTCTTTAAGCCATCTCTGAAAGCAGTTTAATGCAAAATAGGCTGAGAACGAAAGGGATAAGTGAATTATGATCATAGTTTTTCATTGTTCTTATGCCAAGACCACGGTTTGGACAGCAAAGCAACATTTAGAAATGAGATGCGAAAGATCCTCCGTGTAATTGTTGATGTGAAGTGTGCGGTTCACCTTTCCAAGCAGACTGGTAGATCAAATTGGTAGTGATATCATTTGAATAAAAAGCACTGTTTAAACATTGGCATTCATGGCAGCACATGCCTTTAAAAATGGGGGTAAGTTATGGTGAAAGGAAATTTTGATGACCGTTCTCAGTCCTGCTTCATCCACAGACTCTCTCGTGTTATGGGCTGCCAGCAAACCATCTGATTAGCGACCTACCTGATTTCCCTCCATCGTTTTTATGCCACATTAAATATTAAGTTAAAAAATCCCTTCTCTTACTGCTTGCTGCCGTGGTTCATAAGCACGCTCTCCATTTGCAAGCCAATGACATGTGCCTCGCTCATTACTGCTGCCGTCAGCGGTTTCAGAGCAGCTTCTGATTGTTACTAATTACCTGCAGATGCATTTTCTCCGCTCCAGCTTGCTGACTTCAGCTTGGTCGCTATCACTTTGAGAGGACAAAGTGGCGCTGAAATTGACACCTTCGCTGTCTCTCCAGTACAGCAGAGGGCAGATTGACAAATCCACAGGCAGTCCTGACTGCAGCTGGTTGGCGAGTCAGTTTGCATTAGCACTGCCCAGACTTGACTAGATGAAACTGTGCACTGGCCTCGCAGAGGAACCAAATAAGAACATTTCATTTTAGTGGGAGTGAACCCAAACTCTCTTAGTTAAAAGAGGAAGCTTATAAGAAAGCACAAAAGGCCGCTTTGGGGTTTCTTTTCTCAGCAGAACAGAGGCACCTTGTCATTTAGCTCATGAGAAGCATTCAAGACCAACTAACCTTCCCTTCCACTTTGCTGCAAAGGTAGCACCAGAAACCTTGGATTTAGGTTCTCTCGATGGATTGTAAAAGCAGTATTGAAATACTGGCTGCTTTCGGCCTGATTCTCCACTGCTTTGTAAGTTGTGTAGTGAACCTACCCATGTGCAGAACGGATAGAAGGCTATTCCTAATCAGAACGAGCGCATTTTGTGCGCACATTGTGTGCAAGTGCATATAGCTGCAGGGGGAGCGAGGCAGGAGAGAATCATATGCTGGAAGCCTCCAAGAATCCCCAGACCAGATATGGAGTCTGCTGAGAAGGGGGTGCCCCACCAAGCCCCAGGTGTCAGTCTGGCAAGGGGGCAGAAAAAGGAACAAAGCTGGGCACACAATCCCCTTGACAAATAGGATGACACAAGGAGGGGGGGGGGGGGGGGGGGGGGCAGGGGCAGGGACTCACTGAATGGCAGTTAAATTATCTGCTGTTGACTAGGCCACCAAGCAAAATTGGTTCAGGCTTTTGGTCTGAACTGAATGCACAGCATGCAGGGAAATGCACCTGGCTAAGAACACTACACCAGTGTTATTTATGTAGATGTATCTGGTGCCCTCAGTTTAGTATATTACACCAAGGCGCTCTTTCTCCAAAGAGCCACGTGCCCAGAGCGAATACAAATAACACACTTATTTCTCACCGTAGCCGTTCCCATGTATGTTGCCAGAGTGAACACGACAAAATGATAGAAATGCCTGCAGTGCAAAGGGTCTGCCTTGATCCTGGGATCTGTGGCAACCGGCTAGCGAAAGATCCCTCACTGGACGGTTCTGTTGCTCCAGCAAAGCCTCCGTTCATTCCATCGCTTTGTCCCATTCGTCTCCAGCCTACTTCATGGGTTATTCATCCTGACGGGCTAGGGCTGCTATTTATGAGCCAGTGTTTTGCCAA